ATGGAAGAACTGGTGGGGAAACATGGGAAGTTTATTTTCCTACCACTGCAATAAATTTTGTGAGAGTGAAGACCTAGGGGCCTGTAGAAATGGTGGCCAAGGTGGGATCATGTATCCACCCCAAATTAAACAGAAATGAAAGAGATGGGACAAGAAAAAAGGTGGATTTAAGAAAGGCAGTGAAGACACACATTACTGTGAGAAAGTGTGAATCCGCTGTTTGACTCTCCTTCTTTGGAGGTCTTTAAACAGAGGTTGGATGGCCATCTGTCACGGGGTGTGTGTGTGCTTTGATTGGGAGATCCTGCATGGCAGGGGGTTGGACTGGGTGGCCCTTGGGTTCTCTTCCAGCTCTAGGATTCTAAGATTCATTTGTGGAAGTGGGCAGAAACCAGTCAACAAATAGTAGCTCAAATACATCAGTACCAACTCCCCTGGAAAAACAGCATTTCTGACAGAATTTGTTGGTATTTGCCTTCAAGTCATTTCCAACCCATGGCACCCCTGAGGCTATGAACCTATCATGGGGTTTTCTTGGCAAGATTTGTTCAGAAGAGGTTTGACATTGCCTGCCCGTGAGGCTGAGAGCATGTAACTCGCCCGAAGTCACCCAGTGGGTTTCATGCCCGAGCCGGGATTCGAACTCTGATCTCCAGAGTTGCAGTCCAACGTTCAAACCACTACGCCACAGAGTGGGGTGTGGCAAAAATATAAAAGTGAATGGCAAGCCTGTTTTTGTCTTTGCTGTTGTTTTGAAAGCTCCACTATCCGTTGTTTGCGCCAGGAGCCTTTCTTTGAGCATTGTGGTGGGTGACAACCAACAGCTCTTTTGGTTTTCATGCTTGGAACCTAATTGACTTGTACTTGGTGAAGTAAACTTCACCACTCAGTATTTTCATCAGCCAATGGAGACAGAAATCTCCTATGAAACAATCCTCCTGAGTGGTTACAAGCCATTAACTGTCAACACATTCTTTGGATTGACTAATCCAATTAGTTTGCTGGCAGGGTACTTGACAAAATGCTCTTGCTGCTTATAAAAAATGCCTGACATCTGTCCTTAAACTTGCTTTATCTCCTTCTCTTGGTGAGAGACGAAGGCCTGGGTGTGTCTGGCTGTACATGCCTCAGGAATTCCTGTTAATTTTAATTGCTGTAAAACGTGTCGGCCACACTTCTGTGAAAGAGCACCGCCACTGCCTTGGGTGTCATAAGTGTTGTTGTGTTGCTGGCTATTGTGTGTCGATGAGTGTTTGGAAGGGAAGTGAAGATGCCTGTCTTGGCTATTACTTTGTATGCTTCCAGAGGGACTGACAATGTGATCCAGGCATCCTGCCACCAATTTGTCTGTAACCAAGTGATAAGTGTGGACACAATGACAAGTTGGAAAAGGTTAATTTAACCACTTATGTAAGATCAGAAGACAGACCCTCTGCCAATGGAATGCCGATAAAGTTCTAAAGATTGGGAAAGGTCTGGAATTTTTGAAGCCAAAGATTTTTAAAAGGGGCACTTCTTGAAAGCACATGTGGGAGATGCATGAAGGTGGTGGTGAGAACTGGTATTTCACCTTTGGAGGGATCACTGAGGCTCAGTGGACGCTGTAACTCCCTCCTCCATCCCTTAAGTTGGTGTGCCAGACAGGACCAAGTGCATTCTGTGTGAGTAGGAAGCAGTCATCAGGTTCACGTATGTTTGTGTTTATCTCCCTGGTTGGTTGTAGGTTCTAAATTTACTTAAGCTTAACTGGCTTTTATAACTTTGCAACATCTTAAGATGGGCCTGGAGAGTGCCTCATGTATGTGATCCCTCTTTATGGCACATTAGCATGATGTACAGTGGTCCCTCCACATTCGCTGGGATTAAGGGTGAAGGACCCCAGTGAATGTGGAAAAACCATAAATTTAAAAAAAAACATTATTTTTTTACCTAAATGAACACCTCTCTAGGGATCTCCAGGTCCTCCATTGCAACTCTGTGGTCAACATCTGGCAAACGTTGACCGTAGAATCATGCTGGAGGACCTACAGATGCCTAGAGAAGTGTTTTCTCTAGGAACGTCTAGGTTCTCCAGCACAACTCTGTGGTCAACATCTGCCAGAAGTTGATCATAGAATCATGCTGGAAGACCTACAAATGCCTAGAGAAGTGTTTTCTCTAGGAACGTCTAGGTTCTCCAGCACAACTCTATGGTCAACTTCTGGCAGAGTTGTGCTGGAGGACCTAGAGATTCCTAGAGAGAACATATCAATAGAAATCACAAATTATCAAAGCCGCACATGTGGAGGACCAACTGTAATCTTTTTACTTAGAATTAAAAAAAAAAACCCCTCTTTTTGTGTGCCTCTTTTTGTTAATCCTCTCTGATGCTCTGACTGTTTGGGCACACAGGGTACATTTTCTCCAGGTACAGGGAAAGGATGGCTCTGGATTGAGCTGGTTCAGTTCAGTGTACTCATGACTCCATTGCCCTCAGAGGGAAAGGAGAGGAAGGGTCGAAAGCAAACTACAAGAGTAATAGCAATAGCACATATACTTCTGTACGTGAACTCAGCACTCTTGGTTAACAATATGTTGGCCAATTGCTCCCAACAAGCTGGGTACTCATTTTACCAACCTACGAAAGGACCTGACATCTGTCCTTGTGGTTGCAGTACCGACATCTAATCACTGTGCCATGAGGTGCATTTTTCCTACTGCCAATGTGCTGTTCAAAATGAGCAACATTTTGCAGGATTGGTAGCAGCAGTGCCCAAGGAAATACAACTATGCATGGGCTGAGAGTTTCTAGGAGCTAGTTCTACCTCCTTGGCTCAGGAGCTTAGGTTGAGGAAGACCTATTACTATATATAACAATACACCATGGTTTCATCTTGGAGCAATAACGCAAGTCCTGTGTGTATTCTTTTCACAGAACACCATTCTGTGAAGACATTTTCTTAATGCTTAATTTTATTCAGTTGGTAGTTCGTTGACTGAAGTATACAATTCACACTTTTTTCAATGGATCAAGTAACTGGTTAACCTTTTAGTAGATGAAAATGGGTTTAGCTGACTAAAGTTTTCAGCTATACTTGTTTTACACAAAGTGTACAGAGGTCTGCAGCAAACCATTTCTGGCAGAATTGACAACACACCTTTCAGAAGGCCTTTGGAAAGATTGGCCTTAAAACAGACATTTCCTTATAGCCTAGGAACAACACTACTCATTTTTAGATATCATAACTGAATACAGATTTCTCACATTTCTCTCCCAGGTGTATAAAAAAGTTCCAGGTCTTGTGCCATGTAGAGAGATCATTAAGAAATAAAGCATCTTCTAAGCAGTCTTCAGAATAAAATACCATGAGGAAAATAAAAGTTTGAGGGGTTTTACTATCAACAGGTTTTACTACAATTGTGACAGGTGATTGTGCTTTGTCCCATGCAGGCATCTATTTTGTGCTTCTCCTGCAAACCATAATTTATGATCATTTATGATCTTGACAGGCTAGGCAAATGCAAACCATAATTTGCCTGTTCACCTCAAAAAGCAAAGTTCAACCAGGCTGGGGAGGTAGGAAATGAGTGGGAGAGGGAAAATGATAAACTGTGTGTGCCTGAGACTGTTGTACATGCTTGTTTGTTTTTTGCATTAATGCTGACCCACTTTGGCTTATTCATAACTTGATTTCTAGATCACCTGCTAGGCTTCAATTTCCCTCCATGGTGTACAAAATATCATAAAATGGAAGAAGAATGCTCATAAAGCATAAGTACAGTGGGCCCTTGGTATCAGCTGGGATTTGCTTCCAGGAATTTCCAAAGGACACCAAAATTCATAGCTGCTAACGTCCCATTCTATACAATGGTGTCTCTTATATAAAATGGCAAAATCAAGGTTTGCTTTTTTGGGGGAAAAATTCAAACGGTGGATGGTTGAATCTGTGGATAAAGAATCTGTGGATATGGAGGACCAACTGTAATCACCTAGTTAAAACCATACTGCACCTTAAAATTAAGCAGTGGGAACTAATGTAACACAACAGTTAATAAAAGTAGTTTTAAACTGATTTAAATAAACATGGATTGGATGTTCTCTTAAATTTGCAAAGGAGAGACAACTTATAGTTCCAACTCATAGTTCCAAAACCATGGGGCCACCACAATGAAAGCCATTTCCTTGATGTTGTATCTGAACTCCAGCTGTTAGTGTGAAAGTGAACAGCAGTGACCTTCAGATTGAGAAAGTGTTGCAGAAAAAGAAAACCCACTGTTTACATGGTAAATTGGATTCTAAGTCACTTTCTACCAGCTCTGCCCTTCAGCTACAACTCCCCACACCATATCCCAAGCCATTCTGAAGGGTCGTCCAGTCCCCAAGGAAAAGAATTTCCTGGCCTGGCAGACATGTGGGGATGCTTTGGGGACAGATAAAACTCCCCTATTCTGTTCACGTTCTGCTTGGCAAAGTTACATTTTTGAACTAAAGCTGTTGACTAGGAGGGGAGTCTGGGAGTTGTAATTAAAAAATAAACTTTTCCAAGCTCTTGGTTCTGTCCATGAAAGGAAATTTAGGATCCAAGCAATTATGGATTCTCAATCCTTGCAAAATGAATTTGGTCTGTTTTTGGATTATTTTACTCATAGCTACAGAAATCCTTAGCAGGATGTTGCAAATTGAGTTTACTTGCAGTTGAACAGTGGCAGTAGGCTGTCTTCCCTAGTGATCTGAGCTATAGCTTGACAGCCACACGCTGTTGTTTTGGCAGGCTGTTAATTGTGAAATTCTTAGCAACACTGTACTCTGCCTTTAATGGTAAGAGCAAAATAGAGTGAGCTCCTGTAGAAAATGGGTTCCTTCTGCTGGAATTAAAATGTGGGATGTTGCAGGAGGGTTTGGCAAGGTACCATGAAAGATGGATCTTGAATTAGAAACAGGATCAGTTGCATAGAAATGGGGAAAGATTGTTTTAACAACATTCCTGGACTCTGAAAAACAATTCAATTTGTTTTTAATAAAACCTCTGGGTCATCACTCACCAGGGCAAGGTTAAGTTAATTACTCAGAGCTGTTATGGAATTCAGTTATTGATTTTAATTTCCACTGTCTTTACACTACACTACTTTCTCCGTTCTGGAAAATCCTTAATATATGTGTGCTGTGAAAAATGCAGAAGTCTGTCTATCCTGTTACTAACATTCAAATCATTGTTTTAAGCTGGAGGGAAAAGTAAGGCTGTGTTGTCATTTTATTACCAGATACCATTCCCAATGCAGCAATATAGAAAATATTTGAAAAGCTTCACAAGGTTCTGAATTGTAAAAGAACATTTGTCATGCCATCAAAACATGACCAGAATCCTTAAAGACACTGACAGGGTTAGAATTGAATATTAGGAAATGCACATAAAGAACATTTAGAAACTACTGGGGGGGGGGGGGAACGACTTCTGCCATTCATTTTTCTCAGGCATTCTCAACTGCAACACAAAACTGGTTTGATATTACTTTTTAAATACATATTTATGAGAGCCAGTGTGATGTAATGGTTTAAGTGTTGGGTTAAGACTCCAGGAGACCAAGGTTTAAATCTCTGCTCAGCAAAAGAAACCTGCTGGGTAACCTTGAGCAAGTCACATTCTCTCAGCCTCAAAGGAGCCCTGATGACACAGTGGTTAAATGCCAGTCCTGCAGCCACAAGGTTGTGAGTTCG